ACTCTTAATGTCTGAGCTACGTAACTCTGCATAGTCTCTCAGCCTACAGGTTCGTAACTCTTGATGTCTAAAGTATGTAACTCTACATAGTCTCTCAGCCTACAGAGTCGTAACTCTTGATGTCTAAACTACGTAACTATACATTGTCTCTCAGCCTACAGAGTCGTAACTCTTGATGTCTAAACTACGTAACTCTACATAGTCTCTCAGCCTACAGGGTCGTAACTCTAAATGTCTAAACTACTTAACTCTACATAGTCTCTCAGCCTACAGGGTCGTAACTCTTGATGTCTAAACTACTTAACTCTACATAGTCCCTCAGCCTACAGGTTCGTAACTCTTGATGTCTAAACTACTTAACTCTACATAGTCCCTCAGCCTACAGGGTCGTAACTCTTGATGTCTAAACTACGTAACTCTACATAGTCTCTCAGCCTACATGTTCGTAACTCTTGATGTCTAAACTACGTCACTCTACATAGGCTCTCAGCCTTACAGAGTCGTAACTCTTGATGTCTAAACTATGTAACTCTACATAGTCCCTCAGCCTTCAGGGTCGTAACTCTTGAAATCTGAACTACGTAACTCTACATAGTCTCTCAGCCTACAGGTTCGTAAATCTTGATGTTTAAACTATGTAACTCTACATAGTCTCTCAGCCTACAGTTTCGTAACTCTTAATGTCTAAACTACGTAACTCTACATAGGCTCTCAGCCTACATGTTCGTAACTCTTGATGTCTAAACTACGTAACTCTACATAGTCTCTCAGCCTACATGTTCGTAACTCTTCATGTCTAAACTACGTAACTCTACATAGGCTCTCAGCCTACATGTTCGTAACTCTTGATGTCTAAACTACGTAACTCTACATAGTCTCTCAGCCTACATGTTCGTAACTCTTAATGTCTAAACTACGTAACTCTACATAGGCTCTCAGCCTACAGGGTCGTAACTCTTGATGTCTAAACTACGTAACACTACATAGGCTCTCAGCCTACATGTTCGTAACTCTTAATGTCTAAACTACGTCACTCTACATAGGCTCTCAGCCTACATGTTCGTAACTCTTGATGTCTAAACTACGTAACTCTACATAGGCTCTCAGCCTACATGTTCGTAACTCTTAATGTCTGAGCTACGTAACTCTACATAGTCTCTCAGCCTACAGTTTCGTAACTCTTGATGTCTAAAGTATGTAACTCTACATAGTCTCTCAGCCTACAGAGTCGTAACTCTTGATGTCTAAACTACGTAACTATACATTGTCTCTCAGCCTACAGAGTCGTAACTCTTGATGTCTTAACTACGTAACTCTACATAGTCTCTCAGCCTACAGGGTCGTAACTCTAAATGTCTAAACTACTTAACTCTACATAGTCTCTCAGCCCACAGGTTCGTAACTCTTGATGTCTAAACTACTTAACTCTACATAGTCCCTCAGCCTACAGGGTCGTAACTCTTGATGTCTAAACTACGTAACTCTACATAGTCTCTCAGCCTACAGGTTCGTAACTCTTGATGTCTAAACTATGTAACTCTACATAGTCTCTCAGCCTTACAGAGTCGTAACTCTTGAAATCTGAACTACGTAACTCTACATAGTCTCTCAGCCTACAGGTTCGTCACTCTTAATGTCTAAACTATGTAACTCTACATAGTCTCTCAGCCTTACAGAGTCGTAACTCTTGAAATCTGAACTACGTAACTCTTCATAGTCTCTCAGCCTACAGGTTCGTAACTCTTGATGTCTAAACTACGTAACTCTACATAGTCCCTCAGCCTACAGAGTCGTAACTCTTGATGTCTAAACTACGTAACTCTACATAGTCCCTCAGCCTACAGGGTCGTAACTCTTGAAATCTGAACTACGTCACTCTACATAGTCTCTCAGCCTACAGGGTCGTAAATCTTGATGTCTAAACTACTTAACTCTACATAGTCTCTCAGCCTACAGAGTCGTAACTCTTGATGTCTAAACTACGTCCCTCTACATAGTCTCTCAGCCTACATGTTCGTAACCCTTGATGTCTAAACTACGTAACTCTACATAGTCCCTCAGCCTACAGGGTCGTAACTCTTGAAATCTGAACTACGTAACTCTACATAGTATCTCAGCCTACAGGTTTGTAAATCTTGATGTCTAAACTACGTCACTCTACATAGTCTCTCAGCCTACATGTTCGTAACTCTTGAAATCTAAACTACGTAACTCTACATAGGCTCTCAGCCTACATGTTCGTAACTCTTGATGTCTAAACTACGTCACTCTACATAGTCTCTCAGCCTACAGGGTCGTAACTCTTGAAATCTGAACTACGTAACTCTACATAGTCTCTCAGCCTACATGTTCGTAACTCTTAATGTCTAAACTACTTCATTCTACATAGGCTCTCAGCCTACATGTTCGTAACTCTTAATGTCTAAACTACGTAACTCTACATAGGCTCTCAGCCTACATGTTCGTAACTCTTGATGTCTAAACTACGTCACTCTACATAGTCTCTCAGCCTACAGAGTCGTAACTCTAAATGTCTAAACTACGTAACTCTACATAGTCTCTCAGCCTACATGTTCGTAACTCTTGATGTCAGAGCTACGTAACTCTACATAGTCTCTCAGCCTACAGGTTCGTAACTCTTGATGTCTGAGCTACGTAGCTATACATAGTCTCTCAGCCTACATGTTCGTAACTCTTGATGTCTGAGCTACGTAGCTATACATAGTCTCTCAGCCTACATGTTCGTAACCCTTGATGTCTAAACTACGTAACTCTACATAGTCCCTCAGCCTACAGGGTCGTAACTCTTGAAATCTGAACTACGTAACTCTACATAGTCTCTCAGCCTACAGAGTCGTAACTCTTGATGTCTAAACTACGTAACTATACATTGTCTCTCAGCCTACAGGGTCGTAACTCTTGATGTCTAAACTACGTAACTCTACATAGTCTCTCAGCCTACAGGGTCGTAACTCTAAATGTCTAAACTACTTAACTCTACATAGTCTCTCAGCCTACAGGGTCGTAACTCTTGATGTCTAAACTACTTAACTCTACATAGTCCCTCAGCCTACAGGTTCGTAACTCTTGATGTCTAAACTACTTAACTCTACATAGTCCCTCAGCCTACAGGGTCGTAACTCTTGAAATCTGAACTACGTAACTCTACATAGTCTCTCAGCCTACAGGTTCGTAAATCTTGATGTTTAAACTATGTAACTCTACATAGTCTCTCAGCCTACAGGTTCGTAACTCTTAATGTCTAAACTACGTAACTCTACATAGGCTCTCAGCCTACATGTTCGTAACTCTTGATGTCTAAACTACGTAACTCTACATAGTCTCTCAGCCTACATGTTCGTAACTCTTCATGTCTAAACTACGTAACTCTACATAGGCTCTCAGCCTACATGTTCGTAACTCTTGATGTCTAAACTACGTAACTCTACATAGTCTCTCAGCCTACATGTTCGTAACTCTTAATGTCTAAACTACGTAACTCTACATAGGCTCTCAGCCTACATGTTCGTAACTCTTGATGTCTAAACTACGTAACTCTACATAGGCTCTCAGCCTACATGTTCGTAACTCTTAATGTCTAAACTACGTCACTCTACATAGGCTCTCAGCCTACATGTTCGTAACTCTTGATGTCTAAACTACGTAACTCTACATAGGCTCTCAGCCTACATGTTCGTAACTCTTAATGTCTGAGCTACGTAACTCTACATAGTCTCTCAGCCTACAGGTTCGTAACTCTTGATGTCTAAAGTATGTAACTCTACATAGTCTCTCAGCCTACAGAGTCGTAACTCTTGATGTCTAAACTACGTAACTATACATTGTCTCTCAGCCTACAGAGTCGTAACTCTTGATGTCTTAACTACGTAACTCTACATAGTCTCTCAGCCTACAGGGTCGTAACTCTAAATGTCTAAACTACTTAACTCTACATAGTCTCTCAGCCCACAGGGTCGTAACTCTTGATGTCTAAACTACTTAACTCTACATAGTCTCTCAGCCTACAGGGTCGTAACTCTTGATGTCTAAACTACGTCACTCTACATAGTCTCTCAGCCTACAGGGTCGTAACTCTTGATGTCTAAACTACGTCACTCTACATAGTCTCTTGAATGCACATGGCACCTTCCTCTTTCGTTTTGTTTTCTATTCAGTTTATTGTGTTACGAAGAAAACAACTCATGCTTGTGGAAGATCATCCAAGTAACCATGGTAACCATCCATCATAAATGAAGAATGAATCCGACGATCGTAGAATCGAATGTTTATGATTAATTTGTTTAAAACTGATATTACTCCTCATTGAAGGAAACATTCGTCCTTCAGCATCCCATGCTTGTGCCAGTGACGATTTGGGATAGAGCTGGTTTTCAGCCAAACCCTGTTTGTGATATGTAAGGAACTGCTTTAGACGTCGTTTCTGGCAAACAATGCTTATCGCAAGAGGTGACTACGGGTCAAGCTCGCTGACCTGGATGTGCCAGTATCAAAAGTGCGTAGATATAAACGTCAATCACTGGATTGTGTGACCCCGACTCATTTATGAACAGAGCCCGTCATATATTTAAAGCAGCGTCACACAAGAGTTTTACGCCCCTTTTATCAATATTCCAGCAATATCACGGCGGGGGAAACCAGAAATGAGCTTCACACATTGTACCCATGTGGGGAATCAAACCCGTGTCTTCGGGATGACGAGCGGACGCTTTAACCACTAGGCCACCATATCGCCTCTGGTTACATCCAAAGGTCAGGGGGGCGGTGGGGTAGCCTAGTGGTTAAGGCGTTCGCTCGTCACGCCGAAGAGCCGGGTTCGATTCCCCACATGGGTACAATGTGTTAAGCCCACTTCTGGTGTCCCCCGCCGTGATATTGCTGGAATATTGCTAAAAGCGGCGAAAAACCAAACTCACTCACTCACTCACAGGTCAGGGCTGATGGTAGATGACTTGTCTTTAACTATTTGAACTTGTTTGCAGGGTAGCTGTGCACCTGGAGGTGCTGTGCCAACTGTGAAGACTAACGGAGGTTCCCAGCATGTCAACACAGCCTTGTTCCTGTACATGTTTCTCTGGGCGAGACTCAGCGGCGGATCCATGGGCACCAGAGTGGTGGGTGAAGGGATGAATATTGGGGTTTGAAACATATGTATACTTTCGACATGAGCGTAAATAATACGATTATACCCTGGTCCTTGGAATAGTTCACTATCCGTTGTCATCTGATTGTCTGGTGTAAAGCAATCACGCCTCACAACATCATTTCCTTCCAACCTCGACCTCAAGCCCCACAAGTTTCAGTTACAATGCCCCAACCACACCCGCCAAGACACACACACTGATCTTAAGAATTCACATTGTGAGCAAATTCTAATTGTGAACACCCACCCTTCTAAACAAGCATGGATCCGCCGCTTACCGTTATCACCAGCGAGTCAAACTGTACCTAATTTGTACAAACATATCATGGATTCTATTTCATCTTAATAAAATGTTATTATCGTTGAGCTGGTGTTAACTTGTGTTTTACTAACACTTTGCCCAATGTATTTTGTATTTGACAAAAAAGGAGTCACTTTGACAGACGCATGGATAGAAACTGTATGAATGAGTGAATTTTATGCCGCTTGTAACATTTACATCACTGAACCTCTGGTTCAAACAAACCTTTAGACCTGAGTCTTCGCTTTCATCACAGAAGGGATGCGAGAAGATCTGGGTTAGAATTGGTCTTCAGTAACTGATGCTTGTATTCACTCGGGAAAATCCGGGTTTGAATAATTATTGGTCTTCAGGAAAACAGGCTTGTCTTAAGAGGCGACTAACGGGATCAGGTTATCAATCTCGCTTCAGCAAAACAGGCTTGTCGTAAGAGGCGCCTAACGGGATCGGGTTATCAATCTCGCTGACTTGGCTGACACATGTCATCATATCCCAGTTGAGTAGATTGATGTTGATCACTGGATTGTATGGTCCAGATTCGATTATTTACAGTCCGCCGCCATATAGCTCGATAACTGCTGAGTGCTGCGTAAAACAGCAAACCAACCAACCAACCATCGTAGGAGCACAACAATTGACGAAAGACATATGACGTCGGGTTAACATTGTTTTTCCTTTTGAAACAGAAACAACATCCACTCAACCTTTCCCATAATTATAAAAAAATTCCCACATACATGCATTGTTCATTTTGTATATCTGACTAAATCATACACGTGTGTTTATGAAGTATTAGCAGTCAGCACTGACACCAGGTGTTCGCGGGAAGGTTGGCGTACCCTGCCGTATAGGTGACACCCATCACAGCTCGAAGACGGGTGACGTGTTAACCTTGACACCTGTCTCAGACTCGAGGAAACTGCTAGTGATGAAGGTTCGGACATGTCTGGGTGCTACTACAGATGAGGTCCATGACAGTTGGCAGCTGGGCAGCATTAATGAGAACCATGGCTGAAATTATAACCGAAATTATGTCACACGAGTGAGTGAGTGAGTTTAGTTTTACGCCGCACTCAGCAATATTCCAGCTATATGGGGGCGGTCTGTAAATAATCGAGTCTGGACCAGACAATCCAGTGATCAACATCATGAGCATCGATCTGCGCAATTGGGAACCGATGACATGTGTCAACCAAGTCAGCGAAACTGACCACCCGATCCCGTTAGTCGCCTTTAACGACAAGCATAGTCGCCTTTGATGGCAAGCACATGGGTTGCTGAAGACCTATTCTACCCGGATCTTCACGGGTCTATGTCACACGAACCATGTAAATACAGTTCTTCACATTTCCCTTTGATCCCGAAACCCTGTATCTGAATATATTCATTGTCATTGCCACTGGCAGGGAAGTATAATGTAACAACATCACATGTACTCTCCAAATCACTGGGGGCCGTGGGGTAGCCTAGTGGTTAAAGCGTTCGCTCGTCACGCCAAAGGCCCGGGTTCGATTCCCCACATGGGTACAATTTCTGGTGTCCCCCGCCGTGATATTGCTGGAATATTGCTAAAAACGGCGTAAAACCATACTCAGTCAGTCAGTCAGTCCAAATCACTGGGGGAAATAAAGAACATTCATTCGTTGCACAAGTCAAATTGGGCCATCGGACATCACAACTGTCAAAAGTATCGCTGGCGGGATTTCACTCCACATACCATGAAAGTTGTCAATCGAAACTCATGCGTCTTGTCACACTGTGGATATTTTATCTGACTCTATATAGGGCGCGAGAAAAGCTTGTGACAAGGGAAAAGGCGATTTCACGGGTTTCCTATGTTTCTAGTTTGGTAATTGGATCAGTGAAAGTGAGTGGGCTGTGTGACCTGCGAGATACTGGATCATTCACAAGGGCGCTGAAGTTTTTGGCCCATGGCCCATGGCGTCAAGTCACGTGACGCCGACTTATCTTATCTTGTCGCACCTACATCAGAGTTTGGTTAAGTAGAGCACCATTGTCTTTGCGAACAATTCAATTCAAGATGATTACGACAGTTCTTGTCCTGGGACTCTGTGCTGGTATGTATTAGATTCAGGTTTTTTCTGATTCCCGTCAGGTCCAGTTTCTTTGATCCATGTCAGTTCCAGTTTCTCTGATCCCTGTTAGTTCCAGTTTCTCTGATCCCCGTCTAGTCCAGTTTCTCTGATCCCTGTCAGGTCTGCTTTCTCTGATCCCTGTTAGGTCCACTTTCTCTGATCCCTGTTAGTTCCAGTTTCTCTGATCCCTGTTAGTTCCAGTTTCTCTGATCCCCGTCAGTTCCACTTTCTCTGATCCCTGTCAGGTCCAGTTTCTCTGATCCCTGTTAGTTCCAGTTTCTCTGATCCCTGTTAGTTCCAGTTTCTCTGATCCCTGTCAGGTCCAGGTTCTCTGATTCCTGTTCGTTCCAGTTTCTCTAATCCCTGTTAGTTCCAGTTTCTCTGATCCCTGTTAGTTCCAGTTTCTCTGATCGCTGACAGTTCAAGTTTCTCTGATCCCTGTAAGTTCCAGTTTTTCTGATCCCTGTTAGTTCCAGTTTCTTTGATCCGCGTCAGTTCCAAATTCTCTGATCCCTGTTAGTTCCAGTTTCTCTGATCCCTGTTAGTTCCAGTTTCTCTGATCACTGTTAGTTCCAGTTTCTCTGATGCCCGTCAGTTCCAGTTTCTCTGATCCCTGTTAGTTCCAGTTTCTCTGATCCCTGTCAGGTCCAGTTTCTCTGATCTCTGTCAGGTCCAGTTTCTCTGATCCCTGTTAGTTCCAGTTTCTCTGATCCCTGTTAGTTCCAGTTTCTCTGATCCCTGTTAGTTCCAGTTTCTCTGATCCCCGTCAGGACCAGTTTCTCTGATCCCCGTCAGTTCCAGTTTCTTTGATCCCCGTTACTTCCAGTTTCTCTGATCCCTGTCAGTTCCAGTTTCTCTGATCCCCGTCTAGTCCAGTTTCTCTGATCCCCGTCAGGTCCAGTTTCTCTGATCCCTGTCAGGTCCAGTTTCTTTGATCCCCGTTACTTCCAGTTTCTCTGATCCCTGTCAGTTCCAGTTTCTCTGATCCCCGTCTAGTCCAGTTTCTCTGATCCCTGTCAGGTCTAGTTTCTCTGATCCCTGTCAGGTCCAGTTTCTCTGATGCCTGTTAGTTCCAGTTTCTCTGATCCCTGTCAGTTCCACTTTCTCTGATCCCCGTCAGGTCCACTTTCTCTGATCCCTGTCAGGTCCAGTTTCTCTGATCCCTGTTAGTTCCAGTTTCTCTGATCACTGTTAGTTCCAGTTTCTCTGATCCCTGTCAGGTCCAGGTTCTCTGATTCCTGTTAGTTCCAGATTCTCTAATCCCTGTTAGTTCCAGTTTCTCTGATCGCTGACAGTTCAAGTTTATCTGATCCCTGTTAGTTCCAGTTTCTCTGATCCCTGTTAGTTCCAGTTTCTTTGATCCCCATTACTTCCAGTTTCTCTGATATCTGTAAGTTCCAGTTTCTCTGATCCCTGTTAGTTCCAGATTCTCTGATCCCCGTCAGTTCCAGTTTCTGTGATCCCCGTCAGTTCCAGTTTCTCTGATCCCTGTCAGATCCAGTTTTTCTGATCCCTGTTAGTTCCAGTTTCTCTGATCCCTGTCAGGTCCAGTTTCTCTGATCACTGTTAGTTCCAGTTTCTCTGATCCCTGTTAGTTCCAGTTTCTCTGATCCCTGTTAGTTCCAGTTTCTCTGATCCCTGTTGGTTCCAGTTTCTCTGATCCCCGTCAGTTCAGTTTCTCTGATCACTGTTAGTTCAGTTTCTCTGATCCTGTTAGTTCCAGTTTCTCTGATCCCCGTCAGGTCCAGTTTCTCTGATCCCTGTTAATTCCAGTTTCTCTGACCCCTGTTGGTTCCAGTTTCTCTGATCCCTGTCAGGTCCAGTTTCTCTGATCCCTGTTAGTTCCAGTTTCTCTAACTCCTGTTAGTTCCAGTTTCTCTGATCCCTGTTAGTTCCAGTTTCTCTGATCGCTGACAGTTCAAGTTTCTCTGAACCCCGTCAGTTCCAGTTTTTCTGATCCCTGTTAGTTCCAGTTTCTCTGATCCCTGTTAGTTCCAGTTTCTTCGATCCCCGTCGGTTCAATTTCTCTGATCCTGTTAGTTCCAGTTTCTCTGATCCCTGCTAGTTCAGTTTATCTGATCCCTGTTAGTTCAGTTTCTCTGATGCCTGTCAGTTCCAGTTTCTCTGATCCCTGTTAGTTCCACTTTCTCTGATCCCTGTCGGTTCAGTTTCTCTGATCCTGTTAGAGTCCTGTTTCTCTGATCCTGTTGGTTCAGTGTCTCTGATCCTGTTGGTTCAGTTTCTCTGATCCTGTTAGTTCAGTTTCTTTGATCCCCGTCTGGTCAGTTTCTCTGATCACTAACAGGGATTCAGTTTCTCTGATCCTGTCGGTTCAGTTTCTCTGATCCTGTTAGTTCCAGTTTCTCTGATCCCTGTTAGTTCAGTTTCTTTGATCCGCGTCAGTTCAATTTCTCAGATCCCTGTTAGTTCCAGTTTCTCTGATCCTTGTCAGGTCCAGTTTCTCTGATCCCTGTTGGTTCCAGTTTCTCTGATCCCTGTTGGTTCCAGTTTCTTAGATCCCCGTCAGTTCCAGTTTCTCTGATCACTAACAGGGATCAGTTTCTCTGATCCTGTTAGTTCAGATTCTCTGATCCCCGTCAGTTCAGTTTCTCTGATCCCCGTCAGTTCCAGTTTCTCAGATCCCTGCTGGTTCCAGATTCTCTGATCCCTGTTAGTTCAGTTTCTCTGATCCACGTCAGTTCAGTTTCTCTGATCCTGTTAGTTCAGTTTCTCTGATCCTGTTGGTTCAGTTTCTCTGATCCCTGTTAGTTCAGTTTCTCTGATCCCTGTTGGTTCCAGTTTCCCTGATCCCCGTCGGTTCAGTTTCTCTGATCCCTGTTAGTTCCAGTTTCTCTGATCCCTGTTGGTTCCAGTTTCTCTGATCGCTGTCAGGTCCAGTTTCTCTGATCCTGTTAATTCAGTTTCTCTGATCCCTGTTAGTTCCAGTTTCTCTGATCCTTGTCAGGTCCAGTTTCTCTGATCCCTGTTGGTTCAGTTTCTCTAATCCCTGTTAGTTCAGTTTCTCTGATCCCTGTTGGTTCAGTTTCTCTGATCGCTGACAGTTCAAGTTTCTCTGATCCCTGTTAGTTTCAGTTTCTCTGATCCTGTAAGTTCAGTTTCTCTGATCCCCGTCAGTTCCAGTTTTCTGATCCCTGTTAGTTCCAGTTTCTCTGATCCTGTTGGTTCAGTTTCTTCGATCCGCGTCAGTTCCAATTTCTCTGATCCCTGTTAGTTCCAGTTTCTCTGATCCTGTTGGTTCCAGTTTCTCTGATGCCTGTCAGTTCAGTTTCTCTGATCCCCGTTAGTTTCAGTTTCTCTGATCCTGTTATTTCCAGTTTCTCTGATCCCTGTCCGGTCCAGTTTCCTGATCCTGTCAGGTCCAGTTTCTCTGATCCTGTTAGTTCCAGTGTCTCTGATCCCTGTCAGTTCCAGTTTCTCTGATCCCTGTTAGTTCCAGTTTCTCTGATCCCTGTTAGTTTCAGTTTCTCTGATCCCTGTTATTTCCAGTTTCTCTGATCCCTGTCCGGTCCAGTTTCTCAGATCCCTGTTAGTTCCAGTTTCTCTGATCCACGTCAGTTCCAGTTTCTCTGATCCCTGTTAGTTCCATTTTCTCTGATCCCTGTTAGTTCCAGTTTCTCTGACCCCTGTTGGTTCCAGTTTCTCTGATCCCTGTCAGGTCCAGTTTCTCTGATCCCTGTTAGTTCCAGTTTCTCTAACTCCTGTTAGTTCCAGTTTCTCTGATCCCTGTTAGTTCCAGTTTCTCTGATCGCTGACAGTTCAAGTTTCTCTGAACCCCGTCAGTTCCAGTTTTTCTGATCCCTGTTAGTTCCAGTTTCTCTGATCCCTGTTAGTTCCAGTTTCTTCGATCCCCGTCAGTTCCAATTTCTCTGATCCCTGTTAGTTCCAGTTTCTCTGATCCCTGCTAGTTCCAGTTTATCTGATCCCTGTTAGTTCCAGTTTCTCTGATGCCTGTCAGTTCCAGTTTCTCTGATCCCTGTTAGTTCCACTTTCTCTGATCCCTGTCAGTTCCAGTTTCTCTGATCCCTGTTAGGTCCTGTTTCTCTGATCCCTGTTAGTTCCAGTGTCTCTGATCCCTGTTAGTTCCAGTTTCTCTGATCCTGTTAGTTCCAGTTTCTTTGATCCCCGTCTGGTCCAGTTTCTCTGATCACCAACAGGGATTCAGTTTCTCTGATCCTATCAGTTCCAGTTTCTCTGATCCTGTTAGTTCCAGTTTCTCTGATCCCTGTTAGTTCCAGTTTCTTTGATCCGCGTCAGTTCCAATTTCTCAGATCCTGTTAGTTCCAGTTTCTCTGATCCTTGTCAGGTCCAGTTTCTCTGATCCTGTTAGTTCCAGTTTCTCTGATCCCTGTTAGTTCCAGTTTCTTAGATCCCCGTCAGTTCCAGTTTCTCTGATCACTAACAGGGATCCAGTTTCTCTGATCCTGTTAGTTCCAGATTCTCTGATCCCCGTCAGTTCCAGTTTCTCTGATCCCCGTCAGTTCCAGTTTCTCAGATCCCTGCTAGTTCCAGATTCTCTGATCCCTGTTAGTTCAGTTTCTCTGATCCACGTCAGTTCCAGTTTCTCTGATCCTGTTAGTTCAGTTTCTCTGATCCTGTTAGTTCCAGTTTCTCTGATCCTGTTAGTTCCAGTTTCTCTGATCCCTGTTGGTTCAGTTTCCCTGATCCCCGTCAGTTCCAGTTTCTCTGATCCCTGTTAGTTCAGTTTCTCTGATCCCTGTTGGTTCCAGTTTCTCTGATCGCTGTCAGGTCCAGTTTCTCTGATCCCTGTTAATTCCAGTTTCTCTGATCCCTGTTAGTTCCAGTTTCTCTGATCCTTGTCAGGTCCAGTTTCTCTGATCCCTGTTAGTTCCAGTTTCTCTAATCCCTGTTAGTTCCAGTTTCTCTGATCCCTGTTAGTTCCAGTTTCTCTGATCGCTGACAGTTCAAGTTTCTCTGATCCCTGTTAGTTTCAGTTTCTCTGA